TCTGTTGTGATGGGAACTGTCACATTGGCACCGCCGGAAATAGTGGTACCTGTGGGCATTGCTAATATTAAACTCAATAAGGAGTTCAAGGCTAGTTCAATGTGTCGTGGCATTGTATACATCAACTAATAGGTTTCTGCTGTGATAGGAACTGTATATATTGGCACAACCGGAAATAGTGGTTCCTGTGGGCTATAGCGACGGAGCATGCAAACTATGGAGAAGATTGAGGTTTCACATGATATTTCCAAGAGAATGAAAGCATCTGTGTCGGGTTTGATCAACGAGGGAACCGCTGGGGAGCAATTCTCAATATGAAGATTAAAATGTCACTCCAAGAGGCGTCTTGAAAAAAGTCACGAAGTGAATCTTAATCACCATTCTGATAACAAAAGGAGGTCTTATGAATAGGAGGCTCATGCCTATGAGATGACTGGAATGAATTATCAATAGATACTACAGAGTGATATGAATTTCCAAAAGGACAGTATTGCGAAGAGGAAGTAAGAAGTAAATCAAGTAGTGAAGCCTGATACTGGCTGGCTAGGGAAACGAGTAGGGAAAGCCACGATTTGAGTAAGGGACTGAGTAATGGTAGAATTGAAATTCTGAATGCCGAAAAATAGGTAACATTAGAATGTTTAAGACACGTGTCGTGATGCGCATTAAAATCACGGAACACAAAGATGTTCGCAAGTGGATGCAGAGAAATAGCGCCTTTTCTATACTATTATCTCTATTATGCATAAATAACTACAGTCCTGAGAAGAGGAGGGGCAATAAAGAAAAATAGATAGAAAACAGAGAAAGCACTTGAAAGCCGAAAGCACATGAAAGAGTTTTCAGGGGACTCGAGTAAAAATGCCCTTGCTGTTGGAAGATTATCCCGGGTGTAAACACCAAATCCACGCATATGAATGCTGTTCGTGCAGTGACTATTGTCGCCATATTTGGATTGGTGCTTCTGGTATATATCACGGAATTCTTGAAAAACTCAAAAGAATCTGTAATGTTATCGGTCCTGAAGCTGGCATCTCCACTTCAGTCATTTTCCCAGCGCCGTGACGTGGCTACCCTGTATCTCTTTTGTAAATATTTTTATGGTATATTATAATGACGAGACCTAACAGTCAATGTAGCACTACACATAATTTCAAGTGATTGAGAGACCAAAGAGGAAAGCCAAGTATGACAATTTCTATGAAGAATACGCTAGGGCGATGAGAAAGTGAGAAAAGCCGAAGTGCCACTTCAGGACTGATAACAAAACATTTGGAAGTGGGTTTGTCCGAAGACGTTTAAGGGTCCCATAAGTACATCAATAAACTCCACAGGTGCGCAATTTGATTTCATAGCGGGGCAATTAGAAATGAGTTATAATTTGTGAATCTTTTTTTGTAGTGAGTCTCTGTATGTATGAGTGTGTGTACGAGTTGATACATACGGTGCATACATGAAAAAATATCTGTGTGTATGTATCAAAACCTGTAATTACGTATGTATTGTATATACTATATACAGGATGTATCAAAAATACTTTCACAAACTTTTGGGTGCGGATTCCTCACAACAAAACGAGGTAAAATGTTCATAAAACTTATGTCTAAATGGCTATAGAGAATGTATTTTTCCTCAACCCACAGTTTGTGGTGTCACTGATTCTGTTTCAGCAACGCGACGATAAACAGTAGCAAAAGTTGGATGACTCGGTTGCCTTTGGTCTGGAACGCGATCTGATACAGGCGTGCAGCCTCGGGTCCATTACCATTACCATTCGCACGTTTGTAAAAATCATATCTGCCTGCTCACGATAGGAATATCCTGCCATTGTTAAACGGAACACTTCCCTGTTAACTCACTACTACACGCGTTAAACTTTGAAGACAGAGTAGCCGCAAATATACACGAATGACAAATATATGTAGTAGTGAGTTAACAGGGAAGTGTTCCGTTTAACAATGGCAGGATATTCATAGGCAGATATCATTTTTACAAACGGCCGTGCTAACTGTTAACTCACTACTACACGCGTTAAACTTTGAAGACAGAGTAGCCGCAAATATACACGAATGACAAATATAACCTGCATGGTGTAGAATAACAATAGAACAACAACACTTACCAGCGTAAGGGTCCCAGCTAGCGTCCAGCTGGCAGACAAAAATAAAGCACGTTGTAACTCATTACAAACCCTGCAAACTGACTGGAATCAAGCTGATATTTATAGAGAAATACCTCCACGCAGGTACCAGCAACCAATCACAGCCGAAGCAATGGACTATCCCACTTGAGCACAATGAGATGCTCCATAGCACCATAAATAGCTCTCTTTCTCAAGGTGGAGGAGGCTTTGCTCAGCTTGTTCCACAACTGACTGTTTATCTTGACAATGTGATTGTTCTACACGCGGCAACACAGCACCATCTACCGTAATCTTTCTTTAAACTTAATAAATCGAAAACGAAGTCTTTGCGTACATATGGTTATATGGGCTTTTGTCCTTGTTTTGGTGGTAGGAACCTGCCACAGTATTTATATAAGTCTTTTTGATAGACACTCTCTATATATTTACAAATATTAGTAACACAATATCTTTATAAATATTGTACAATTCTAAAATTAAATGATAATACTATTGCATATATGTAGTCTTAAACTCTTAAGGACAGTCAATTTAATAATCCTCCACCTTATCAAGAGTTCAGTTTTTAATAATAAGAATTACATGTCACGGAACGGCGGGGGTGGGCAACAGGATGTTTAGATGGGCCATGGCCAAAAAATGGTTACGAGCCAATGGATTAACTCACTGATGAAAAAAGATTATTTTTACCCATTAAGTATTTATTGCCATAATTTATTTCGTCCGTCATGTCACTAAATTCGGAGTTGAATATTAAACACACAGATCATCAATAACACTGCGAAGATTTCAGATGAATATTATTTTTATCTTAATGCACACTCTATCCAAGTAAAGGGATACTGAAGGAATTTTTTGGATGAGCGGAAGAGTAAGATGTATAAGGCATTCTTTATGGGGATAATTGGGAAAGATAGAGGTTAAGCCTAGATTTATACAGGTTAAGATTGTAGTGGCCGGAAAGCACCAGCTTGGGAGCCGATCTCAGAAAGTAGTGGTTCGTATGAAGACGCTTTTTGAGTGGAACTTGCCTCTCACTAAAGGAATACAAAGGGGGCGAAGATAGTTCGTCACAGTGAAGGCCGAGTGGCGGTTCATGGCTTTGTTTTGGTTAGAGCTGGTGGAACTAAAGAACATTTTCTCAAAGAAACTAAGACATAAGATCAGAAAGATGACAGGTAAGTCTGCGGGAGAGTGTGGTTGTAGTAAAACCAATGCATGTAGAATTTTTTATTAGTATCAGAGATAAAATCTCTGAACGGGCATGTAAATTAATACACTACATTGTTTTTTTGTAGAGGATTTAATTGTTTGATTGGAGGTTTATTGGAGAGTATGATGTTAATTGTTTTATTTTTTTTATAATATATGATGATCTTAAATTGTTTATTATTATTAATGGGCTTAACATTTCTACCTATTATATTTTTGAGTGTTCTTTTATCCTGTTTGTTATTATTATGCATTTTGTTATAATAGTATAAGTTAATAATATTATTTTGACGTATACGTTGGTTTTACGGCCACCACGCTTTCCCGTAGATTTACTTGTCACATTTGTGTTCTTATTTCCATTAAAAAATATTTCTAGGAAAACATAGCTGTGCACATAATATTCGACAGATATTATTTGATAACACACCGATACTCACACATAAACACAGTAAAAAGAAGCTTAAGATACTGGAGGCTATCTACATTAAAACAAAACAACCCACACTCAACAAAATTACATTTGAAACCAGTCAAAACATATTACAGTGCGTCTAAACATATGATTTTGTTGATAATATTTCTTTCTTTCACGGGGTCATATACGATGTCGTACAACCGCATTACGAATATACGACGTGCGTCTGCTCTTCCGTGACCGCTATCGTCGCATAGCAAACTTCTACGTAAACAAAACAGGATGTCAGCTTTGATGGTGAACATCTCTCTTGTAATGTCCATATAACCATTCTAATGATGGCTTATGTGAACCGAAAGCTTAGGTCGACGACAAATATAATAAAGAATTATATAAATATTGGACAGTTTTTTTTTGTCTTTATTTTCTCTTGAAAAATATATATATATATATATATATATATATATATATATATATATATATATATATACATGGAGGGAGAAGAACTTCCTGGCTGGTGAAAACGTGTCGGTGGGCAGCTGAGGACGTGGGCTAACACAATCAATGATGACCTAGCAGTACTATCGGGTCCACAAGTAGTTGGTCTTCGACGATGGAATCGCGATTGGCTCGCCATTTCGTGTGACCTGGCTCAGAATCAGCGAGCGTGGGCAGCGATGGTCCGTGATGCTGTACATGCTCGGGAGGAAGCCGGTTCAAACCGACCAGGGTGAAAACCGATACAAGTCAAGTCAAGAAGTACTGTGAGGCACGATTCTGCAGATGAATGCTATGGGTCACCATTCAGATCATCCCTCAGGTGCAACTGGTTCCATTGATGTCCTGCGTTGACACTGAGGGTAAAGACTATTTTGGTACGTATGATTGTGCACCCACGACATATTGGGGTCATGAAGTTGGATGACATCGGATTTGCTTTGACCTGCAGAGGAATAGGTCTACTTGCAGCGATGGTCTGTGATGCTGTACTTACTCGGGAGGAAGCCGGTTCAACCCGACCAGGGTGAAAACCGATACAAGTCAAGTCAAGATATATATATATATATATATATATATATATATATATATATATATATATATATATATATACGGTGAGTCAAAATGATGTTAACACTAATATTAAACGAATCATTTATTTAGAGTTTACTGAAAAGTCTCCAACGATCAACAGTACAATTTAGTGCCTTGACACACATTTCAAGGCGAATGTTTGATATTACACCTTTAATTCTCTCCTTGAGTTTTTCGGTGTCTCTAAGGTTTTCGCTATACACGTGGTCCTTTCTCATACCCTATGACCAGAAGTCACAGGCCGTAATTGGCCCACATTCCTTTAAAACTCCAACGGTGACTGTAAATGCTTACTTACAAATACTGCAAGAGTTTGCCATTGATAACATACTTCTACAAATCAGACGAGCGGGTTATTTCCAACAGGGTAGTGTACCGCCTTATTTTGGCCCTGCTGTTCACGTTTGTCTCGATCAAATTTTCCCAAATTGTTGGATAGGTCGTGGTGGACCGTTGGCAGGGCCAACACACTCCCCTGATATGACACCCTCTGACTTCTGGTTACGAGGTATGATAAACGATCGCGTGTATAGCAAAAAGTTAGAAACATCGAAGAATTAAAAGAACATAATAAAAAGTGTAATATCAAACATTCCTCGTGAAATTTGTGTAAAGGCACTAAATTGTACTATTGATCGCAGGTTTTTGTGCATCAATCATGCTGGTGAACGGATGGAGACTGGTCAGTAAACTCTGAATAAATATAAATGATTCCACTCAAACTAGTGTTAACATGATGTTAACTCGTCCACTCTTACGAGTGTTAACATAATTTTGACTCACTATATATATATATATATATATATATATATATATATATATATATATATATATATATATATATATATATATATATATATATATTAAGTTTGGCTTCCTGGGATATTAAAAAAGTATAAAAACTAAGAAGTAGATGATCATGTTACTTCAACCTCTTGTGGCGTCATACATGCTTTATATATCAGTATTTTTATTATGTTTTCTGCCGAGGTCTCAATAAAGAACATCTTGTGCGAAAGAAATGTGCGTAATCATAAGGCTGACAAAATACACGCATACATATCTCACACACACATATACACTCATATATATATATATATATATATATATATATATATATATATATAAAAGAGAGCGAGAGAGAGACAGACAGGCATAAAGAGATAATGAAGTGATAGATAGATAGATAGATAGATAGATAGATAGATAGATAGGGCCGTGTGGGATTGCACAAATGTTGTCTGAATATATGCTTTTCCCAACCAGATTTTTATCTATGTAAACAGCCTTGAGGTATTTTTGCAAGCTAATTTAGAAGCAATCAGTCGATGCACAAAGTGTGTTAGCATTTTGAAACGAGTTTAAGCAATCAAGATGGCGCATGTAATGGCAACGCGTGTGGATTTCGTTTTGATTATGCGTCAAATAATTAGAGGCGCTAGTGTAGAATGAGTTAATTTTTTTTTTTTCAAATAATTGAGAAATATCAAAATCTGCATGAATTCCTCCAAAATCAAATTTGATAAACAATCAAAGGTTGAACATAAATATCGCGAAAAGTAACTCAGATGTAAAATAAGAAATAATGTGTTCCCGCTCCAATTTCCAATTTTACAGTCTTTTGTATAAAAAGACATCCAACACTTTCGTTACCGATTTTGCACATAATGCAATTCGGAATATATCTTAGCCGAAAGGCTTTGTTTACTATCATAGGGAATCATTATTACTCTTTTCGTAGAGGTAAAAAGTTTACAAGAGCAATGAAAGCGGAGAGATTAAAATAGATTTTTTAACAAAAAATACACAGTACATGTATACAGAGTGCGATGGATTATTGTCGTCTAAATTTCGCAAAAAGGAAAAAAAAAAACCTGATATATTTACTAAAATTACACAAAAATATCTTGAAATATAACAGAGTAGATTTATTTAATAAAATCGCCTTTGGCTTAAATCACGGCCGCCAGGCGACTTTGGAATTTCTTGCAAATCTTCTGGTCGATCTCTTTGTTAATTTGGTGAATGCTGCCATAGTCCTTGCCTTCAGTTCATCTTTGGTGTTATAAGCAGTTTTATTGGTCTCTCGCTCAATTGTGTCCCACACATAATAATCAAGGGGGTTGCAGTCTGGGGAGTTAGGTGGCCAGATGTAAGGGGTGATATGGTCGCAGAAATTGTGTGACAGCCATGACTTGATTCTCCTGATTGTGTGGCGTGGTGCAGAGTCTTGTTGCCGGACACAGGGTCTTCCAGCAGCCACCCTCTTTACCCAGGGCAGTACTACCTCCTCAAGGCACTTGATGTAGGTCTTCGTGTTGGGTGTGAGGTCCTCACCAACAAATTCCGGAGTTCTGTTCTTATAAGAATGGTTAGAGTTTGTTTTTCTATCTTCTGTACAGTCACCATTAGACTCATCGAACTTTTTCTTCTGCACTGTCTTCAGATTGACACCCAAACACACTGAAATGTATTCGTATTGGAGCTTCCGGCGTGAATGCCAAGCAGTGCAGCATACCGTTTCCAAATTTTTGGCGGAGTGAATAGCGGCATAGTGCTCTTTTACTCACAGTGTCTCACGGTGTCCAAATGACCCTACAAAGTCAAAAACCACGCGCATGCTCGAAATTCAAACTATAAAATGGAGACAATATATATATATATATATATATATATATATATATATATATATATATATGATAAACTCTCCGTAATTTGGAGAACCACATTAAGTTTTTATGTTTACGTCGTATGTGGCACTTCATATTCCCTCCAGTAACCTGCATACATATCCACACATTTTGTAACAGCGAGTATCAGGGTATATCCACAGAAATATTTGCTGATGCTTTTCGCCGTTTTCTTTCGTCTCTTAGCCGATGAATAAGACTGATTCCGAAATATCTGATACAACTATGGCATAAATATCTCCAGTTATTTCTATCCAAGACAACTCACATGAAGTTCCTATGAGGCATATTGACAGCTGAATGGTTACCCTTTAGCTTGTCTTTCTATCTGTGCCAATACGAAGCTGGTTATACATGAGGAATTCTGTCGTTAGAGCCATTTGATATGTGTTTGATTTAAAATCATTCCACAGAAACTAGTGATATTATGTATATATCTTATATAGGAGTACATTCTCAGAGAACGCGGCAACAATGTGTCTCCCGTGTTTAGAAAATAAACACTAAAAATATACACACAGCGCACACACTCAATTAAACTGAATAAATAAAATCAAACTTGATAATGGCTAAATGTATAGCCGAAAGCACTCGCAATTATAGAACATATGGACTGTTTCTACACAGCCTGTTTCCAAAAAAGAAAACACTTGTTCGAACACAAGAAAAATGAAATTGAAAGCTAAATTGTAATACCTTGTCTGTCATTTTTAATGAATTTTTACTAAATGTACACAATCATATAAAGACATTTTTATGTTTATACATTCTTTTTATAGACACACATATTTAAGTAAATGCTCTGTTTATAATAAACAGTATTAAACAACATTTACCGGCCTGAATATCCGAGACATTTTCACAGAAAATATTCGTCCTCCGACAGAATTCGAACCTGTATCCTATCCGGAACCGTCATTTAGCTTGACGTGCCTTTAACCGATTTGGCCACAGAGGAGCGTTCGGTTAGCAAGGTCGAATTTACTGTATTTGAACTTCAATCTCCTTGAATCTCTCACGATATAGGAAACTGGATCATCAGACTTTACTTCCAAAAGTTAAAATAAAAAATGAAAAGAAACTTACACATTTTTGACGGACCGCACCAAGCATATTTAAAATTAACGAAGTGAGGAGGTGAGGTGAGAGAGAAGATATGAGTGAGTTAGATGTACCATTTTCAATTCCTTATCCTTAACCCCACTCTGTATAGGCTAGACGCCGCTTAACTTAACGTATGCTATCTCTAGATATAGATGGGTAAGGGGTGAGGGAGAAGACCGACTTAAAGGGGGAAGATACAGTTAAAAATAAAATAATAAATCATGTCCCTGAGAGAAGGTTTCACTCAATTTCTTAGACGCTGTTATTTCGCATTCCTTTAAAGGGTATATTTGAGGGTTAAAGTTTGATATAAATCTAAATGTCTAAAAAAATCTACGAAGAATTTAATTTGATGTTTGTTGGAGTTTTGGGTATTTTCTATGAAATAGTCGATTGGAAAAAAATTCATAGAAAGTACATTGAAAGTATAATCCATTTTCTATCTAGTAATCCTTTTTATTTTCTTAAATTTTTTTCTCATAGCTTGCTTAGTTGACATCTATTCGTTTGATTCTTGTTCATAAATTAAATCCGTGACTGTTTTTAGATACCTAATTATCAAGGTTTATTCCAATTCAAATAATCTTATCATCAATAATGATTATTAAAGGGTAATATATTTCAATTTAAATTAAATTATCAATTTAAAATTTACCTCCGTATTATTTATTTAAAGTCACTTCCAATTGGAGAATATTAAAGGAGAGAATTGGATAAAAGATTACTAACAGAAAATTAGGTTCTTCTTTTACAATATTCTATATATCCGTACACATACTTTTTTCTTGTTGATTATTCAGTTGATATCTATTCGTTTGAGTCTTGTTCATAAATTAAACTCGTGAATGTTTTTAGATACCTACCTAATTATTATCAAAGGTTGTTCCAATTTAAATAATTTTATCATCAATAATGATTATTAAAGGGTAATATATTTCCATTCAAATTAAATTACCAATTTAAACTTTACCTCCGTATTATTTAAACTCACTTCCAATTGGAGGATCCTAGAGGAGAAATTTGGATAAAACACTACTAAGGGAAAATTAGGCCCTTCTTTTACAATCCATACACATACACACCTCTACACATATCTGTATCTACATACCTATATCTCCCTGTATACCTATGAATCCATATACACACATGCACACACCTCAACACAGAAACTATATGTATATTCCTATAACTACACATATATACCTATAGAGAAATACATACACACATATCTACACGCATACACATATACTTATATATATATATATACATCCACATACATAAAGTTACATGTAAATCCATATACATATACACATATACACATACACACACACGTATATATACACCCACACCCACACATACATCTATACATATATATATACACACACATGTATATCTCTATATACATACACACACACACACATATATATATATAGACATACACATACATATACATACATATGTCCACTTATGCCTGCATTCAAAGACCATATCAATATCAATATGTAATTACATTATGAATGCACAAAATCGTATAATTATACATATCTCTACACATATAGTACCTGTTATCCCATATCTATGGCAAGACATATAAGTACCCATCTAGTTATACACATTCACACTCACAAAAAAAAAAGGTTGTATGCCTCTCTTTCCATATAAACTCATATACATGTACGCATCAAAAAGTGTATCGGTGTTCAAGTGCAATACCGTAGACATATACATACAGTCATGTGCCCGCGCTCATGCGTGCACAGCAACATTTCCAACAGCAAAAAGACCAAAGGTCATTCAATATTGTTCTCCCTATATAGCTATTTTTCAATGTATTTACTTAGGTTTAGGTTGTTCTTGTGTCTGCATTTAAAAACTAGTTCATTTCATTTAAGACCAGCTAGTGATTTACAAAGGAGGCCACATATGGAGCAGTTGTGAGGATTGTGAGATGAGATCACTGTTAGATTGGCTGACCTTTTAGATCTTGCTCTCGCTTCTTGAAGATGATTCAGACAAGCAGATTTAAAATTGCTGAGTCCACTAAAACACGTTGATCTCCATTCTACCCGCTCCAAGGCTAAGCGCTCAAGGGTGTTATGTGGTATATTGACGGCTGACAAGTTGCTTTTCAGCTTGTCTTTGTAACTTAGCCATGGGCGTCCTACATTTCTGTAGCCCTGATGTAACCGGCTGTACGTTAGGATCTTGGGTATCCTGTCATCAGACATTCTCAAGACATATATAATACAGTTATATATATTTATATATTTAGGTTTTTATTCATGAACACTATTAAATCATACATAGTTTATTTACTTATTTTTTGTTCCTAAATCTAAGGTTCAAAACTTCTTTTACTTTATAACAATAAAACAGCCAAAAGAATGAATTTAATATTGCGAAGAACATCTCTTAGAATAATTTATCCAAAAAGTGGAAATTGGACTGAAACCATTTTGTTGCTCTCAAACATTTAGATTCGCGTGGGACTTTTCTTTGTCTAAGTGAAGTGTTTGTTGTATCTCTCCTCGAATTCTGCTCCCAGACAGAGCTAAAAAAAAACCTTTTTAAACCAGTCACTCTTGTAGTTTGTCTAAATATACACCTGGGGTAAATAACGAACAGTTCTCAGATTTAATAAATTCAATCGATAAAAGACAGAGAAATCTGAAAATGTTCCCATGTTTTTTTATGAAGTTGGCATCGAAGGAAAAATTGAATATTCGTAATTTTGATTAAAGATGAATACAATTTCCTGATAAAACTACTTTTATGCTATCTTTTGCTGGACATATTATGAATTTTAATTTATTTTTCTTTTTATTACTGCAGGGTGATAATTAAAAGAGGATTTTAATGTCGTTTTAAAAAGAAAAATATGTACGTTGCAACCAGCTCTAAACAATGAATAAATTTGCAAAAGCACTTGAGGTGATTTTCAATTTTTTTTTGTTGTATATTCTTTCTTTCTTTCTTTCTTTCTTTCTTTCTTTTCTTACCAGAATCCTATTCTTTTTTTCTTTCTTTCTTTCTTTCTACTTACCAGCATTTCTTTCATTTTCTTTCTTTATTCTTTCTTTTTTATTACCTTCTTTATTATAACGAATATCTCCTTTCTTTCTCTCTACCCGTAATCCATTTCTTTCATTTTCTTTCTTTCTTTCTTTCTTTCTTTCTTTCTTTCTTTCTTTCTTTCTTTCTTTCTTTCTTTCTTTCTTTCTTATTACCAACAAATCCCTTATTCATTCTTTCTTTCATTCACCATCGTATTTATTTTATTCTTTCTTTCTTTCTTTCTTTCTTATTATTAGTTTCTCCTTTTTCTTTCTTTCTTTCTTTCTTTTTTTCTTTCTTTCTTATTAGAGTGCCGGAATATAGTAGATTAGTTAATTAGAAAATTAAAGCAATGGACTGCTATAGCGTTGAGGTTCAACCTCCGATTTGTAATCAGCCTTTCGATGTTAAACATTCTTTCTTTTTAATAAATCGTTATTCATATAGGATCTGATTTTTGGAGATCAATTTAAGAGATTTATTTTTATAACGGTGATTTTCTACAATAGCTTGGCAAATATTTGCCCTAAATTATTAGTCGATAATCTATTTACAGAGGTTTGTTTAGTCTCACTCGTGGTGACATGTTTTTGTCATTCGGAAACAAAATCGCCAATGTTTCAACATAGAGTGGGGCTTAAAAGAAAGTCACGTGTAGATGTGGAGAATCGAAACTATAATACTAGGTTAAGAAGCCATTTCCTGTCAGTGAACACCCCTTGATTTTACAGCAAAATTTCGCAAAAAATGAGACTTTCTTCTGTTGCCATCTTTGTTAGCCCCTAGAATTTAAAAAACAAAAAAAAAAGAAATCCAGCTACCACCACCAATGCAAACAGTTCAATGACTCCATTTGCCTTTTTTTCTTTTGTCGCCTCCATATTTTTTGCCGCCTCCATATTTTTTGCCGCCTCCATATTTTTTGCCGCCTCCATATTTTTTGCTCCATGTAAATTTTTGCCGCCTCCATATTTTTTTTATTGGAGTAGTACAGTTTTTACTGCATTTAATATTTAGTCAATTCAGCTGTAAATAAAAAAAAAAAAATTCTAGCTGCATTTTCCTGTTTTTATACTTTAATTAGTTTCTGGAAATCATTTTCGTAATAGTTTCGCCTGTCGACCAGTTCACACTTCTCTCCCAGTATTTTGAACATCATTAGATATTTTGTCTTTGTTTCCTGTTCGGGATTGGGTTTCCATTCCTTCTGAAATCTTCTTATTATGCTTTCACTTCCAGTAACTCTTTGTGTCTTAGTGGTATTATCACCTTGCCTGGGGTGAATTGATTAAAAACATAGTACTAATATTTCGCTGTTCATTTCTGGTATATACTACCTCTAAACCAGAAGCCTGATATGTCCGTAAATTTAAGAGCACTCATGTTCAATTCGAAAGTTCGTATTATGGATGACATTCAAGATCCCAAACCCGTTCAGAAATATCTAAAACGTCAGCCGTATACAACCGCCGTTAAGATCAATGTTTTTAAAAAAAGCTTTGAAACCTGGGAATGCTTTGAAACCTGGGAGGGCTCGTTGTGGATTGGCGCTACACAATCACAAGGAAATATTGTACCAAATAACAGAAACTACTACCCTTGAGGACTACCAACAGTAGCAACAACTAAAATATTTAGCACAAGTAACAAGAAGAGAAAATAATGACATAATCAAGATGTTGACATTCCACACCACTTCAAACAGAAGGTTAGGAAGGAAACTTCCATCGATAATGGGAAGAGTGATAACACCGACAGGAGTTGAAAACGCTACTTTTCTGAATAATTTTAATTAAAATATTTTATAAGTTTAAACCGAAAGTAGTACTTGCCTCTCTGGCAATAAATTCAAAATGTTTCCTTATAAGTTTCCTTACCATTATCGAAATCATTTACTTGCGTTTCAATTTTTGTTGGTATGTCTTCTTCATTTAGTAGTGTCTCTTTATAACATAGTCATAAATCTCCTTGATATTCTATATTTTGTAGCTATAAGCAGTATTTATCCATACCCTCTCACAGTTCTTGTTCAGACAACCCTTTATATAAGCAAGTTATGTAGGTTATTCGATGCATTCCTTAGTCACTCTTCCATCAGTATCTCATGTCAGTGTTAATTTTTCTAAGCCCACTTTTCTCATTTCAACTGCCCCTTTAAAATTTTAAGTAAAACTGGCCTTTTTGTTTCCATTTCTCTAAATAAAAAAAATCCTCCAATATTCCATCCACTGTATTCTCAGTATCCTTCTGTAGATCTATACTTCTGTTGCCTTCAATTTCCTCTTCATTTGTGGCGAAATTGTTCAGCATTCACTACCATATACAATGATTGATATTACACAGCATTTCAACGCCGTTTTCATTGTCTCTAAGGAAGGTTTTTTTTTTAAATACTTTGATTAGCTTTTGGATGGCATCTTTCGCTATACGCATGCGCCTTTGCGTTTCGGTGTGCCATTTTCTGTATCTTGCGTCTTGGACCGTCCATCTTGTAACGACCATACATTATGTCTTTATACAATTGGTGCTTAATCCTTTCGCCTGGTTTTCTTTTACTATATTGTCGAGGAGTTCATACAGTTTTTTTTTCTGTACCTGCCATCAACACGGTATCATCTGCTTATCTGATTTCGTTAAAATGGTGTCCTCCGATAGCAAACCCTAGTATGATTTCTCGTTCTTTGAAGATCAGCTCACTGTATAGTTAGGGAAAAAAATGGTGCGCGACGCTTACTTGCCTCATGCCGTTTTGAATTTAAGTTGTATTTTCTCAATTTAATTTTTCTTTCTATGTACAGGCTATTGGGCCCCATTAAATATTCCTGGTTATTTTAATTGATATAGAGTTAGGGTCATTTTTTTAAACTTTTTCTGATACCATTCCGCCAGATCCTATCTACGACCTTCTATAAGCATACAATTCCTGTGTACTTTTAAGATTCATTATTATCGCGAAACAAATGTCGGACTACTCAATCTCATGCTTTTTGCTGCTTTTGCTGTTACCACTTTTCAGCCGATACTTTCTACCGCATTCTTCAAATATACCATTCAGGAGAAGATAATTATTTAATTTTTTTTCTCTAGTAAATGATAGCGAATATACCAACCAAGTTATTCATTCCCGGTAATGCGGGTCACAGATTAGATACACGTCCTCGAAAGCTTGTTTCATCAGGTGATTCCATCTTTTTATATGAAGCACTAATAAAGGTAGTTATTAAAGGCCAACCCCATCACGTCGAGATGGAGGGGGCAGCAATCAACCCAGGCGTCCCCAGGAATCGCTTTCCGGACCAACCAGTTATTTTTTTTTTTATTATTTGTATAAATAAATGCCTCCACGGCATCGCTAAAAGTCACCGTGATGAAAATATGTTCCGAACCTAATGAAAACAGTTTTACCGTCAAAATTGTTATGCTATTTTTAAGAGGAAGGATCAAAGTATTTTTTGATTATTCAATTAATCTTTTTTAAAAAAATCCGAAATTTTGATTAAATAACTTGTTTTTCTTGCGTCAGCGGTTGTATTAACCTTTAGCAAGTTTGGCCTGTTCAGCGGTGACATTTTGGAGATTCTTGCAAAAATCAAATAATTGTCAGATTTTAATGAAATTTTCAGGAATTATTCACAAACGAATTAAATTATTTCTCACAGTTGTTTCATTACAAAATCTCGGTAAAAATATTTTATATTTTACAGGTTTCGCGTCTTTACTTAATTTTATGAAACCTTGAGAAATTCATCGAGATAATTGTTAGTGACTATATGAGTTAAAAGCAGAAACCTTTGAATTTAAACCATCGTTTTTGTTTTGCAAAATCGGACAGTCTTATCGAAAATCTGTTCCGAATCGAAAAATAAAAATAAAAAAAAAACGCTATAAAACTAAAACATTATTTAATTATAGAAGTTTTTAATTGATTTTATGAATAATATATATTGTAGAAGAAAAACATTTAGAACAAGTAGATTTTTCAAGATTTGTTTTCATTTTCTTGCAATTTTTTACAATTTAAAATCTTTGAATCTTCAATTTTGATGAGATAATTCTTAGAGAATATTGTTATTAAGTAAAACTTTATTTATTAATCATATATTTTAAAGCTTATTACAATCTGAAGACACCAGGTATTTTTTGAAGAATTTCGATGTGTTTTTATATAAGTATATACAGTGCACGGTAAACAAATATTCATTATTCACATTATTCGAACTATATTTATTACAACGTTTCGGCCGTTGTACGCTCAGGCCTTCTTCAGGTGGTTGGAATGCCGAACTGAACCCTTTATTTCGCTCACTGGGGTAGACTTTTCTAGTTCCACGTGCCATGTTTAATGGATGTCAGTTATCAGTTATCTCCTGTTAATTTCCGTCTCAATGTTATCGACTGCCTTAACCGGGTATTGAATTCACACTCTTTGGGTCCTATCCACTGTACGATGTGTCTTTGAGGACATCTGTGTATGAATTCCTGGGTATTATAAACCTAATGTCTTCAGCAACCTTTTTTACCAGTGCTCATATTGCAATTTTTTGCTGTTAAACACATGTTTTTACCAGAGCTCATATTGCAACTTTTTCTTGTTATCGCTTTTCTCTGGCACTCCTTAACTGCGAAACCTTGTAATAAATATGGCGGACAATAGTCCGAATGATGTAAATAATGTACATAATACCTCATCTCAGAAATATAGACAGAAACAAATATTCGTTCACATACAAATTTTTAATTTTTTTCTATTTCCAAATAATGAATAAACATATTTTTCATATTATTAATTGCACACATGCATAAAAAACTAAATATGCTTAGAAAATATTTAAAAAATGCTGAATTTCTGAAGTATGGAAGTACAAACCTATAAATCTATTTTTAAAAAGTCATGTGTTTTAATGGTTGTAACCACCCCACCACCACCACCACCATACGGAACAAAACGAAACCCTAATGAAATTTATCGTCTGCTCTATCATAGTTAACTATAAATACATTCGGCAGTCAATACGCCGTCAATAAATAGATTAACATATCATGACCATGTGGTTAGGAAATGCTTGTAAACAATATTTTATGCTATAAGTCAAAAATATTTGTTTCAAAACAGATGAACTTAACTTCAAATTTGCTAATTGTCCACAAATAACGTTTCAGATATATATATATATATATATTTGCAACATTTTTAAAACGGAAAATTACGTTTTGTTTACAAATCTCTAAAAATGGCTGACGTCATCGATTTTACTGAAAAAAAAATGCAAGTTTATTCCAATCAATATAATTTCTTTCTGAAATGCACCAAATTATTTTGCTTAACGGGTGTAGTAAATTTAACCGTTTAGCTTTCATTTAAATCTAAATTGAAAGTTTCAGGAAAGCTTTTTAATCATCAAAAACTTATTTTAAACCTTGCGTATGCCCAATTCATGGAGGTCAGTCCGTCCTATGCCATGCGTGATACACGCTTTCGATACATGACAAACGAGGCAGTAGGTTGCCATTTCTTTCTGCGATAGACCAGTTGTCATCCAAAGCTATAGAACGCGGTCTGTCCTGCTATTTACCCATAGCTGAAGGGAGAAGAACAGGATCCATACCTTTTCCAAGGGTATTAGCACGCAAGTGAATGTAATGGATTAGACTGGAATTCGAACTCCGATTCCTCAATCCGAGTCGCTATCCATTCTCTACTGCGCCTCATTGTGGAGGTACCGATACGTAGATGATCTTCGTAAGGGTATACACAGATCTACTGTGAATATCTACGCTGATGATACAATGGTATATAGGGGTACCTCCAAAACTCTAGATGACCAGAGATTGGCAACTAATCCCTCAGCTGTAACATCTCAGTGTGGGTAATAAAAAAAAATGACAAGATGCATTCAATACCTCGAAAACCAAACTAGTTATCACAGATCGGACTGTCAGCTATCACCA